AGAAATCATTTTGGTGTATTCTGACATATACCTCAGGCCCCCTTTTAACAGTGTATAGAAAACGATTGTATCTTACTCGACAGCCCTTTCCCTACCTCTGGGGTTTTTTTTCTCAGAGGTGCATGGGGCCCTCCCTCACATTTAGTCACAAGGGTACATTTTTCATCGGTTTTAGCATTTTTTCCGATTTATTTTTTCAACTTCTTTAATTTTCTAGCGCCTCCGCTATAAAACGCTTCTGTTTTTGGCTCAAATTTACTTTGTCGGGACTCTTACTGGATGCTGGTTAAATACGAATAGTACATATATTGTCCTTAGGGAGTTGATTAGTAAATATATAGTAGCATGAACCATCTTGGCGAAGCTATTGATTGACCCTCCCACTTCCTTCGAATCATACATGTAGCTGCAAACCCAACACGAATGAATACTGGGTCGATAATTAAAGTTATCAACAAAAACAAAGAACCCCATTGGCTACAGAACACGATTAGTTTGTAAACGTTAAATATAGTAGTGTGCAGGTGGGAACCATCATTTGGTTCAATACCAAAAAAAATGCTTACCACAGATGTAGCGTATTTTGAATTAAATAGCGAAATTTCCCACTAAGGGGTTGTCCATAAAAGACGTCCGCAAAAAATATGGAAAATTTGTCATAGAACATAGAGCGCACCCAAATTCACGTTGTCAAAAATTTTGAAGAAGACAATGACATGTGTATGTAGTGACAAAATGTGCTTATTTGTTATTTAACAGTGTCATTTTAAACTTTGGTCACTGCGACTGCGACCCTTTTAAGTTAGTCAATCAGGAATGCATCCTTACTTGAAGGTGGGCTGCTGCCATATTTAAAGCTTGATATAGCCGATGGCTGTAAATGTGGAGGGGCAGGCTAGTCGGAGCCGCTACCCTACAAGTCTTTGCACCACACCTCCGCTTTTTGCCGTATCACTTATAATTCATTTCCAACGGGCCTGTAGAGGAACCCTTTGTTCTCACAAAGTTAAAAAATAGAATATGTTAAAACATTAAGTAGCAAAACAAGCAACTTTATTACCGAGGTAGGTCATATATTCATTCAGCTTAGGAAAAGATCCTCCTGTCCTTTAAAGTGAAGGTCCCAGATAATTTTTAAAGGATAAAACTACTTAATTCTGTGTGAAAATTCCTTATAAATGCCGTTTTGTCTCTGGATATTTATGAGTCTGGAAAAACCCGACTAAACTTAACACATTATAATAGTCGCGTTTATCAAGGCTTAAAGGACCCGTCCCAGATAGATCGGAGTCTCAAAAAAAAGGTCCGTTTAAGTATGCAAAATCAACGCCAAACTATAGAAAAATATTGTAAATACCTTGTCTGAAATTGTCAACTATCAACTTTGTGTGGTTTTATCATGAACACTAAAATCGCCTAACTTGGTTACGTAACTCAGAGCTGATTGATGTAGAAATTAGTCACAAATTAAACATGACTATTACACCATTTGTACCTCTCAAATAAAAGAGTTTTAACCGAGTCTAGCTGAACGCGGTCGTAATATAAGTCGTATTCTTCCAGGCGCACATTCTTCTTTTCGTTGAGAGTACCTTGGTCGAGCATTTAGACCCAGCTGACTATTATTTTTTTTTAAAACGCATAAGTTAGCTTACCATTAATTTACAGAGCTAATTTAAATGTTTATGAGGACTTTCAGTAACGCTTCACACAGAATTAAGCAGTTTTATCCTCCATAAATTATCTGGGACCCTCCCTTTAAAACTGCAGCTGTGGATCTTAAGTGAGTTACGTAACTCGGTTAAACGATTTTAGTGGTCATGTAAAAATGGCTTAATGTTTTGAACTGACATTTTTAGAGGGGTATTTACAACATTTTTCCGTTTTAATTGCTTACGCAACATACTTTTATTATTAAGACTCTGAATTATCTGTGACTGCTCCTTTAAGAAACAACTGGCAATTGTACACCAGGGAAAGGCATCTCCATAACAAAAACAACAACTTGTTTGTATAAAACCACAGGGTCATCTACAGTGAGGGGATCAAAGCGGTCTTGCATTTCGGCAAACTCGTCATCATTAAGGGGACACTCTATAGATGGAAACTGAACATGTGGGCAAACCCTGCTGAGGAGATCTTCCGAAGCAATACCTGGGTGCGGGTCATCCATTACATTGGTTTCATGTAACGGAATTAGATGTTGGTTGAGGGCAAATAACTGTATCGGAGTGTAGTTTTTTTCTGTTGAAATTTTATGACGATTATGTGCCCTTAGAAATGCAGATAGATTCTTATTAATCAGCCGCGGAAAAACGATATGTAAGCACAATAAATCTAGAGGATTGTCCGGGTCCAATATACCATCATCCTCCATCTTAATCTTGAAAGATTTCAGACACTGCTCATTAACATCTCTGTGAAGTCTTTCTATACGTTGATTGTGGACAGAGCTACCAGCGATGACAGGTCTAGTCTCCACACTCCGATTATCATACATGATCTCCCATGCCATCCGGTTTTCACCACCATAGCCAGTACGTAGTCTGATTGGGACAGTATACCTTTCCACTGCAGCTCCAAAAAGTTCTCCAACAGTTACAGCCTCATTGTTGTTACTGAAGTGGAGATACAAGATGAGGCGAGAAAAACCATCTATGCCTGAGTGGACCACAAACTTGCACCTTATAAGTTTGTGATCTCCGTCTATGTGCCATAAATAATTAGGGCAAGGTACTTTGTACTCACGCCGAAAAATCTTGCTAGCCCTTCTCGCTGCCACACCATCCTCATCAATCCTATGTAGGCTTGCACGTAGTCTTCGCCGTGGACTTTTATAGCCTTTAGCTTGGACATGACCCATTAAATAAGTTTCCCCAGCATTTGGGTGGCTGCTTTTAATGTCCATGAGTAAATCATCCAATTCGTTGTCAGATATATTGTTGAACCGAGGTCCAAATGTAATATCATTCTCAGCAAACCTCTTGTATAAAGTGGGCCTTGAAACATGAAAATACTTGGCCACATCTGTAATACTCAGCCCTAAAGACAACATATCCTGTGCAGCCTTCACATCAAAATTTTATTTTTGACTAGGGGCCCAACTGGGTTCTGAAAAATATTTTTAAACAAAATCACCAATATTTGCATTAAATTCAGCTGAAGAAAGATAGCCACGCAAGCATAGTAATCAACTAACAGCAGCTGTGGACATTATATTTAGGGCGGTTGTAAAAAAAAAGGTGCAAAACCCCACACATAGCCCCATCCCAAACTTAGGCTGCCTACCTACAGCTAGCTCCGGCTGAGAATAGGCCCTAAGCTAATTAACCGACATTTTAATTCCTACATCGACGATTTTAGTCGAAAACACTGAGTATGCTTTTAGAAAAAATATTTATTTATCTTCTATTGTCATATTGAATGAAATTAAATATGTTTATTTAGCCGCTGTGTGTATGAAAGATGTCAAACTAATCAAAGCCGAATCACAAAATAGTCCTCTAATTATTCAATATGGCGGCGCCCATGGAACATAATTTCACAGAGGCGGTTTTGTTTGCGAAAACAAATTTAGGAGTATCTAACCTTGTTTTGAAAGATAAACAGATTGAAACTCTAAAGACAGTTTGCAACGGTAAAGAATTTATTGCAATATTACCCATAGCACATATTATATATCGCTTTTACGCGAGTGTCAGCGACATGGCGTGTTTACATAAAACACGCGTGCTTGGGTTATTTTTACTCTGTTGTCTAAACAAAACGGTGTCTAGTCGATAAGTCCCGCCTCAAAATGATCACGCGAGCGTTTTAAATGGCAGGTAATCAGGACAGTGTCACACTCGGCAAATCTCGACAGATTCCGTTACCCTACATCTAATCTCGGCTGTATGACAGTAAGTGATATGTACCTACGCCCATACATTTGCGATGTACAAACGGCGTGGTACGGTTGCGCTTTGTAAATTTAACTATATGTTTAGCTAAATATATAATTATTTAGCTAAATCTATAAATATTTAGCTAAATTTATAAATATTTAGCTAAATATATAAATATTTAGCTAAATATATAAATATTTAGCTAAATATATATTATTTAACTAAATATATAAATGTTTAACTAAATATAAATGTTTAACTAAATATTTTAACATTTAACTAAATATATATTTAGCTAAATATTTATATATCATCAAATCTCTTGTTTTGGTCTTAATATTCAATGCTAAATGTTAAATATGAAAATAGAGACAAATCAAGAAATATTTATATATATTATGTTAAATATTGAGTTTTTGTTTTATTTTTAGTTTAAATATTAAATTAAAAAATTTGCACAAAAGTCGAGATTTAACTATATATATAAATTTAAATTAAATCTAGTGTTTTTTGCTATATAAAAAGCTAAATAATTAATTTAAAAACGGCGCCCCATATGCGTATGCCCTTCTTTGTTACCACTATAGTTGGGTTTTTTTCATTTCGAGTGTTTGTCTTATCGGCTTTGTTTTGCTATAACTTGATGTGCTTTGCACAGCGTGGCTTGACCGACAGATTGTTGCCACTATACAGATATCAATAATTTGAAATCCCTATAGATTTATCGGACTAGAGGTGGGGATGATCGGTGCAATATGTTGGTAGGGGAAGTTGAATGTCCTTTTAACACAAATAGATTATATCGGGTGTAACTTAAGTTCTTCAATTATAGTTCAGTATAATTTAGCAATAGACATAAATGAGATATTGGGACAAATATTGATTGTATTATCTTCTAGTAAATCCGTTGCGTTATATAGCTACATATATATAAGGTTTTAAAGTTAAACAGTGTAACTTGAGCTTTCAAAACAGATGGTACATCAAAATATCTATGAAATTAATAATAGATTTAATAAAGTATCTATGAACTATTTGAATCAACTGAATATTTTTCATTTTATTGATTGTTACAACTTGTATTCATTTTGTATTTTTCAGTTTGTAGAATAGCTTGCCACGCACAGTGAAGTGACATCGTTGTATTACGTCAAAATGGATACAGATATTTATATTTCAAATCTATCAACGACTCCGCTGTCAAGTGTTGAGCTAAATGCGGTAACTAATCATGCCAATAATGTGTCTTCAAATAATGTCATGCCTTTAATAGGAAGTTGCGTGGGTAGTGGTGATGACCCTCATGAAGACTTTTATCGCACTGCCCAATACGCAACAGGAATGGTGATCTACCCAATTTTGTGTATTATTGGACTTACTGGAAATGTGTTGGCACTTATGGTCCTTAGTCATAGGAATATGGCGACGTCGACTAACGTGTACCTCTCGGGCTTAGCAGTATCGGATACCATTAAATTATTAAACGATTTACTTTATTTCATAATGTTAGTGATTTCAATAGACAACGAGAAAGCTGGTACTAAAATGTTGGTAAGCGTGTACCCTTTTGCACATTTTATTTTCAACATGTCAGTGTGCGTTACGGCTTGGTTGACGGTGTCGGTCGCGGTGGAGCGGTACATCTCTGTGTGTTATCCAACTCAAGCGAAACAACTGTGTACCATTCAACGAGCTCGGATTGTGTGTGTATTTGTTTTTATTTTTATGAATATTTTAACTCTGCCTTCCGCCTTCACATATAAACCAGTGTATGTTTATGATGAAGAACACAATGTGTCTTGCCACGACATTGGATTAACAGAGCTTGGTGCCAACAAGGCATTCATGGTTCCTTATCAATGGGTTCAAAGTTCATCAAGGGCCATAATCCCGCTTATCGTTCTGGTTTTCCTAAACGTTCGCATCATCAACGAACTGCGAAAAGAAAGAGTTAAAGGAAAGACCCTGTCATCGAGAAATAAGATTACTTTAATGCTGATTGTTATTATTGTGATTTTTGTGGTGTGCATAACCCCTGATGCTATCATGTCGACATTTTTTGGATTTGGTTACGTCACAGAGACCAGTTTGGTGAAAGGGATAAGGGAGATAACCGATTCTTTACTTGCTTTTAATTCTGCTATCAACTTCTTGTTATACTGCATTATGAACAAACTCTTCAGAATTACGTTTCTGGTTGTACTTTGTGGAAGAGAGCCTGCTAGGATCGCTAATGGTTCCAAGAGATCGTTTAGATATGAACAATCTACCAGACGAAGAAGCAGTAACAAGTTGAAAACGTTATATAAAAGAACGTCCACCACTTCGTTGTGACTAAAAACTGGACAAAGCGGACATCTTCTGCCTTAAAATACAAGTAAACCATTCACTATTGACAGAATGCAGGAAGTGTGAAACCTGTATTAGCATTGTTGTGGTGCTTTACCTGTTTTCTATGTTAAGCTAAAATTAAGTGGGGTAAGCGCTGTAAACGACAGAGAAAAGAGACAAAGTTATAAGAATTTCGGAGACTTTGATACTATGGGACATTGTTTATCTAGTTTGTTCGATTATTCTGTTAAATATTTAATGATCTTGTCACTTGTCGGCCTACAATTAAGAAACTAATTATTGGATTATTTAAGCGTTTATATGGTCGATAGCAAGTTTCAGACGGTTAATCGTGTAAATAGTGTATTATTATCACATTGAGGCTGTGCAGCGTAATTCTTTCTTCAATACCATGTGTACCCTTCCCGAATCCCTCTCGAAACGCCCGGGATTTCACGGCCCCAGACTTTTCAGTAATGGCCACCATCATGTCGAAATTGTTTAACTTTTACAACTATGTCATCGTATTGTCTTTATATACCTCACTTCAATGGCTGTGTTGACGCTATATATTTATCTAAATATTATGAAAACTGTCGAGCTACAATATTCTTACTGCTGAATACTTGAGGCAGAATCTAAGAAAATGCTGTATTTGACCAGTTAGATCTATATCTTATAGCCAACAAGCACGGCCAGATGGAGAACACATTTATCTAACATTTATTTTCGTACTTTGGAATTTTATATGCCGCTAGTCATTGTCCTGAGGTAGCCCAGATTCTAAATGTTGTCGCGTTCTTTGTTCTCACTACACTGTCTAGAACTTCTGATTCTACTTCTGTGTGTTTGTGATGTTGAAAGAGCTAGAAAATTGTGCTTTTAGATTTTGAAAAAAGGATATACACACTATAGTTTTTCATCGTGATGTAGTGTTTGTGGCATTATCACATAGTTTTTGTTCATTCTTTTTTTGAATCTTGAATCCACATTAAAATTCATTCTACATTATTTCACTTCACAATAATTGTAAATGGCAAAACATTGAAAAATGGTTGTACTTACTGAAGGCCAATGTGTTGTTTACATCGAAACATTCCTACTTGTAATTATGATCATTGTACTCTATATATATATATAAATTTATATATTAATAAAGTATTCTTTTTGTTATCACTAGTATAGTTTTGTTATTCATATTGTAAAATAGGTCGATGTGGAAGACTACATTACCACGCATCGTTTAAATTATTTTTATACTATGTAGTATTTTGTAAAACAGTTACTGTTATGTTTAGTGTGCTAAATATGTGACAAATCTGAACATTAGACTATTGATAACAATAGTTATGTATGGGTAAGCATTCTGAACTCTCAACAACTTCCAATTTGTAGGAGCCACAGTGGCTAAGTGGGTAAAACGCTGGCTCGCTATCCTGGAGGTCACGTCTCCGATCCCTGCATTAACCGAGAAAGTTAATCGGGTTTTTCCGACGTGAGTTCCCATTGTCGTGGTGCAGGACAGAGGGACTTAAAAGGACAGCTGTCTAGTCGTTCGGATGTGAAGAAAACTCGAGGTCTCTTGTATACATTGGCGTGCACGTAAAAGATCCCTTGGTAGTTGAAATTCGATATAAGAGTAGGTCATAGTGCCACTGTCCGGGCAAAATTTCCCTCATAACACACTGTATGGCGTCTGCTCCTCTTTATTGTAAATTAATCTCAAAATTATTTAGCTTTTTTAAAATATGTTTAATATTTGATTAATGCTTAATAGATTTTGCAGTATTAAGTGTTTATTGAATCAATCAAGTTGCTCTGAAAATTGCATTTTATGGATACAGTCTGCAGGAAAATGAAGTGAAACTGAAAACCAGATACTATAGCTTTTCGGAGCAATATATACTGAACGACAAAAGAAATGTGCATGTTTTATAACTAATGATTTCAATGTGATAATTTTGTACCCACATGGTCAGGTAAATGTAAAATGTGAAGTATAGGTCCATTTTATCTGTTTAATTTTTTTTTTTTTGGGGGGGGGGGGTCATAACTTGATGAATTACAATTGACTTTCTGGTTGATTATACATGTTACGTACATCCGCACGATTAATAAATAAATCACTTCACGTAAGGATGTTATAAGGATGGCTAGATTGTCACGTCTGCAGCGGGAACAGGCTATAAGCAGAATATAGACTGGACAGACCGCACGGATGCTTGTTGAAAATTTTAACGTCCATATTAGCACTATCCACCGTCTGCTGAACCGATTCAACCAGACGAACTCAACTGATGATAGGCGGTAGGCCGAGAGTAAGTACCAACAGACAAGATCGTATAATTTACAAACAACAAACTGCCAGAAATACAATCGGCATCCACCAGAGACCGATACGTGATATAACATACGGCGGCGTCTACGCAGAGAAAACCTCAGATGTCGTCGACCAGTGAAGAGACCAGTGGTGACATTACGACACCGTCGACGACGCCTGCAATGGGCTAGAAGATATCGCCTATGGCGTCAAATGCAAAGAGTATTATTCACGGATGAATGTCGATTTTGTGTGTCCAGAGTAGATGACAGGGTGAGGATATGGCGTAGACGACGAGAGCGGTATGATGATAGAAATGTTTTGAAACTTAGTCCATAGGGAGGATCAAACATCATAGTATTTGCAGGTATTGGTTTTAATTAGACAATAGGACCGGTTGTATTCCAAAATATTGACCCTTATCGCGGAAATATTGTCACTGTGCAGGTTTACATCAAACAAAATTTCATTCAACCCTATTTGGTACTTTTTTTAGAAGGCAACAACAATGGATAATGCAAGGCCCCATGCTGCCAGAAGCCATTTTGGCATTGGACAACATTAATATGTTACCATGGCCACCAATGTGAGCATTAAAGGAGGATTGACCAAATGATTCCCAGACCAAAGACAGCTGTATAACTAACTTACAGAAGCAGTTTGAGCCCGATTACCCTGATCTGTTATAATCCGACTTATTGCGTCCATGTGTCGCCGGTGTTCCTGTTGATAATGGAGGACATACACCCTACTAAGTTTCAGCGTCGTTATTAATGTTGTAAATAAATATGTAAACTACTTCCTTTTTCATTACGTTTCTAAAAAAAGGAATTGTCCCACTATCCCAACCCTTACCCGTTCCAACCCATTTTAAATTCACCCTTCTGAAATTTTTATTTAGATATGCGTTTCTTTTGTCGTTGAGTATACATTGTGTTCATGTGAAGTTTTTACAAGATTAATTAATTCTGAAAAATGAGAATGCTATTTAACTTCTGAGCTATTTCGAAAATCGAGCGGTTTCTGTTTCTCCATTAGAGGGACATTTAAACATAAATGTTTTATCATTAAATTTGTTGCAAGCTTTATTGGAAATAGAGTTCGGACCTAGAAAATGTAACATTTTATTGATACAAAAATAGCCGGATTAGGAGTAAGACTAGTAATTATTTGCCCTGATTTTATGATACATGAATGGTGATCATCTATTCATGTCAATTCAATCTAGATATTTATTAATTTTCATGATTTTGAGCCGGAAGTGTGAGGAAGTAAAAGGCTATCACCAATGAAAGTAACGTCATAGCCTGTAAATTCCTTCGAACAAGCGAAGAAACAAATCAAGATGGCCAAATGCCTTCAATATTTTCGGATGACTGTGACATGATAAACAAAATCATGGTGTTCATATGGAGTCAACAGGGAGAGAATTACTAGTCTTAGTTCGACTATGCGTTATATAGTTACCTCCCCTACATCGGAAACAATTCCATATCAAATCCTGCTACTCTTGAGATACTGGTTGTTCTTATTTTAATATAGAAGTTGTATTAGTGATAGTCATCTCAAATACTTTGTTACGACAAATCAATCAAAACTATTCGGATCAATTTTGTAATACCAATTTATGTTGACCTCAAAATACAATGATGTACAAAGGTGGCAAAGCCGCTCGCCTGCAGGAGCGGAAGGGCGTCGGAATGGGTATTTTAGGGGTGGCCTCCGCCCGACAATTTTGAAAATTAGGCAGCCTAACACGCATTTTCCAGCAATTCCGACACGTGATTACAGTAACTTGAAAGTGGTCGAATATAGCCTTTAGAGTTTCCGCTCTTGAGTCCCGATCCCGAAAGTCCCGGACCACTTTTCACTTTTGAGTTATCTCGACATTTCAATCATTTGATAGCGAGTTTGGTTGGGTATTATTTGGCATGGTATAGATAAAAGTCGATAATCTACCAATACCCACTGAACACTAGATGAATTTAAAGGTTAACATCACCGGACACCGACTTGATCCGTGGTGATAAGAAATCTCAGTAATGGCATATATCCGTTCGATGTTTAAGAGCTCGACAGTGGATAAAAGAACCTGTTCCATTGTGCTACAACGTTCGTTGATCACTAAACAACCGCTCCGGAGAACGCGAAGTTGCTAGCGTATGAACAATAAACGGTGCACCTGAAAACTAATGTAAACGCTCAACCAATTCACGTTCCTTCTAATATCCTTCTGATCATTTTTACGCGCAGACGAATTATGTAAATAAAATTGAACCATATGTTAGTCCCGAAATGACCTAGTTTGTGTCGAGTGGACGTTAAACCCCATTTCTCTCTCTCTCTCTCTGATCATTTTTGAAACTAATGAAAAGTCGATGTTCCGCCTCAAGCATAAAATTGCCTAATCCAACCCAAAGAAATTGGCGAAGTTAACTGAAGTGGCAGATAATCTGTTTACTTAGACAGGTGTGCAAACAAGAAGTCTTCGTCATTTCTATGGAATCCTGTCCACTTTTGGCGATCTCGTCTAAGGAGAGAGAGAGAAGAGAGAGAGAGGTTTAACGTCCACTCGACACAAACTAGGTCATTTCGGGACTAACATTTGGTTCAAATTTATTTCAATAATTCGCGCATAGGTTTTTTTTATAGCAGTGGGAGGATACTGGAGGACCCGTAGAAAACCTATTATAAATTTCAACACGGCTTTACTGTCACTGAAAGCTTTTAGTTAAGGTAAGGAGAACTTTAAACCAGCTTCCCAGCGACTCGACCACCAAGTTACGCTAGGCGATTTTAGCAATAATTTCAAGTGGTCTCGTTCCACTTTCGTATTTTCAAAAAGAATAGCCACCAGAAAATTATCTAGTCCAGTGGTTCTCAACCTTTTTTTGGCAACTGCACACATTGGAACACGTGACAAAATAGCGGCACACCTGGCTAAATATATATGAAAAATATCTGAATTTTGAAAAATAAAAACATGGCAAGTCATAGACGGCATACAACCGTAGAAACGGAGTAGTCAAAGAAACATAGAATGACGCAAACTAAATAAAGGAAAACACAGCTGTGAATACTCAATTGGGATCAAGTTGCTTTTCGCATTTTCTTAGTGTGCCGTTCAAAATTCGCGGCACACTTAGGAAGATCTCGCGGCACACCGGTGAGCCGCTGATCTAGTCCTTGGATAGCCAGCCCCAAGGTATTTGTGCGTGGTGCTATATTGACCATTGTGTCCTGAAGTGCTAAGTTTAATCGGTGTCCATAGCCATGTGCGTAAATTGCGAGGGCGGGCTTTGCTTTTCAAGTATAGATAGCCCTTTATTTTTTCAACTCATATTTGCAGCACCGACAAAGCACTCCCATACGATGTTTTACATCTCCAAATTCAAGTCACGAATTGCATTTTGGGCGAGTTTGTTTCCACTCATATTCGCTACACTGTCAAAGCACCCATACGACGTGTTTTCATTTCCAAATTCAAACCACGAATTGCATTTTGAGTAAGCTTGTATAAAGTTTGGCCGTTATTTGATTTGGTAACAAGTAAGCTTGAAATCCTTGGGCATAGTGCCACCTGCTCCCGTCTACTAATATCAGAGGCTTCATCCATGATTATGGTTTATTATGGTGGTAATTCGTACGATGATTAAATTAGCAATAATCGGAAGACGTATAACTTAAGGGGTCCACTGAGCATAACTATCCAATT